GAACTAAGGAAGTTTCCAGCCAAGAGCCATCAAGGAACTGACGACCTTAGTCCAACAAGCCCGTGAGGGACTGAATCTTGCCAACAACAATGTGAGTGAGTTTGGAGCATAGCCTCCTTCAATCAAGTCTTCAGATGAGACCTAAGCCCAGTTGACACCTTGATTACAGCCTTGTGGATTCCTTGAGGCAGAGGCACCTAGCAAAGCTGTTCCTGGATTCCTGATCCAGAGAAGCCATAAGATAATAAATGTTTAAGTAGCTAAGTTATGGGATAATTTATTGTGCACCAATAAATACCTAGTACACAGTGCATATAAATTTCACTCAAACTGTGAGTGCAAAAAGTACCAACTGTTTAGCTTTGCATGTAAGAGTAAAATACCTCTGATGAAAATTTCCAATAAAGCTTTAGAACAGCTTAACAGAACCTATTCTTTGGCTCCAGGCATTTGTATAGCACCCTGTATATAAATACTCAATAATTACTTGTAGACTAAATGAATAACTTCCAAGCTTTTAAAAAATGCCAAGGTTGCTGTCTGCACTGGTCTGATCTGTAAGATACCAAAAAGCCATATTATCCAAAAGTTAATTCCTCTAGTGTACCTAGGCTTGACCATACCCACTCCTCCCTCAGTTTATTTTTGAAAGTGCCTCTATTGGAATCATTATTTCGATAAGGTAGGGATTATTTTCCTGATAATTGTTAAAGTGAGTGGGAGAAAGCATATCAGCTTTGTCCAATGGTAAAAAATTGAGTTGAAATATAATATAGGTAAATTTTAGTGAAATTTAAAAAAACCAAGAAACATAAAATGAGGTAGTTGAAAGAAGGAGTGGACACCAAAAGGAAAGGAACTGAATAAAATTTATGATGATCTGATGGCCCTGATGTACTATCATAAGCAATAAATGAACTCTGAAAGATTAAGCTAAAAAAAGTCAACAGACTTTCTCTTAGGGTACTGGTATTTGAAATAATTTGATCCTTAAAAGTATATTTAAAAGAAGCACACAGAAAAAAATGCATATATAAAATGAGGAAGTAGGCCGGGCACGGTGGCCCACACCTGTAATCCCAGCACTTTGGGAAGCCAAGACAGGCAGATCGCTTGAGCTTAGGAGTTCGAGACCAGCCTGGGCAACCCCATCTCTACAGAAACATATAAAAATTAGTTGGGCGTGGTGGTGCACCTGTAGTCCCAGCTATTCAGGAGGCCGAGGTGGAAGGACTGCTTGAGCCCAGCAGACAGAGATAGCAGTGAGCCGAGATTATGCCACTGCACTCCAGTCTAGCGACAGCCAGACCCTGTCTCAAAAAAATAAAATAAAATGAAGAAATAAACTTTACTTGTTAATGGTTCATTTAATGGACATATGAAGGGTTTAAAATTCCATAAAATATTACTGTTAGCAAGAAAATACCAATCTGCTCTTATAGTAATTATTTCTTGAAGTGAAAATTTCCTATTTTAGTGAATTAGTAATTATAAGAGATTTTTTATCTGATTGTCATCAGATTCGAAAATAGAAGATTAGATGGTATCTAATTGCTGTATTAATATCACATTTCAGCCTAGTGACAATAATTTCTATTTATTACTATAAAATAATTTATTATAGCTAATGAAGCAGCACTGAAATTCCAGATATATCAATGGCATTGAATTTAAAACAATAATTGCAAATAGAAGATTGTACTCACAGGTTTCCATGGAATTTTCTAGAAGCCTTACTGGAAACAGTTATCTTTTTCTCAAAGGGGAATAAAAATCCACAAATAATTAGCTGTCAAATGCAGGAAAAATGAAAATGAAAAACAAAAGTAAAAAAACTTTTTTTCTGGTTGGTAAAAGAAAAAAAAAATATATATATATATATATTTCAGAGACAGGGTCTCACTATGTTGCCCAGTCTGTAGTGTAGTGGCTATTCACAGGCACAATCATAGTGCATGACAGCCTCAAACTCCTGTGCTCAAGCAGTCCTCCTGGCTCAGCCTCCTGAGTAGTTGGTACTATAGGTGCACACCACTGCACCTGGCACAGAAAATACTTTTTTTTAAAAAGTCTTTACAATGAATTGTTTCTTACTTAAAAACAAACTCTTGAAACATATTTTAACTTATTTTCTTACTGAAATTTTAACCACTTTCCAGCCTGATGTATCTTGAGTATAACCTAAAACTTCTTGGACAGTTTTTTGGGCAATTGCCTTGTAGTCCATCTGTCTGCAAAGTTTTAAAAACAAACAACTGGTAAGAATATAATCATATAAAAACTTAAGAAGTGCTATCTTACATTTTAATATTATTTCTATAGTGCCTATCACATAGAAATGAACACAATTACTTGATGAATGCATGTATGCATGAACCCCTCTCTGCTTACAGTCTTTCAAACAAGAAACTGTGGTATAGTAGAAAAATCTAGACTTTGGAATCAGAAACCTGGGTCATATCTTGTCTCTGCCACCTATTAATTCTGTGAAGCATGTTACTTAGTATTTCTGTTTTTCCATTTTTCTCAAGGTATAAAATCAGGATAATATCTGTCTTGTAGAAGTAGTGTGAGGATTAAATGAGATGATATGCTTAAGGTTCTATCCAGTGCCTGGCATACTATAGACATTCAAAAAATAATTTTAATTTCTAACAGTTTAATCATGCGTCCTTTCTATTCTGAAGCATCATGAGCTGTTGGTTATGTGTTCTTGAGGATTAATCTTTTTAAAGTGAGTAGCAGTGGCACTACATGATCTTGCCCCTGGCTTCCTCTTCAAATATACCTCCTACCGGGCTGCTTCTTGTTCACTTAGCTCCAATCATTTGATCTCCTGGCTGTTCCTCAAATACAATCAAGCAATTTCTGACTTCAGGTTCTTTGTACTTGCTGTTCTTTCTGCTTGTCACTTTCTTCTGCAATGTGTTCATATAACTCTTTCATAGATATCTTTGCTTAAATGTCACCTCCTCAGATAGGATCAAGTTTAAATCAACTGAATTTAAATGTACTAAACCCTACTTGAAGTTAGAAACTGCAATGGACTGAATGTTTATGTCTCCCTAAAATTCATATGTTGAAATCCTAACTCCCAGGGTGATATTAGGAGATGATTAGGTCATGAGGGCAAAGCCCTTATGAATGGGATTAGTGCCCTCACAAAAGAAACCCCAGGGAGCTCACTGGCCCCTTCTGCCATGTGAGGACACTGCCAGAAGTGGTAGCAGTCTGCAACAAGAAGAGGGCCCTCATCAGAACCTAACCACTCTGGCACTCAGATTTCAGACTTCCAGGATCCAGAACGCTGAGAATTAAATTTATTGTTTACAAGTCATTCAGTCTTTGGTAATTTCTTATGGCAGCCCAAAAGGACTGAGACAGGCACCATGGTAGGTGTAGCAACAACAATTGAGTAAGATACTAGATACTATTTCTGCTGTGAATGAGTTCAGGAAGCTGCAGTCTCACTGGTCGTTTGGTTCATCATCCAGCTTTCAGTTAGGGGAAGCTGGCCGGTAAGTTGAAAGCAGAACTGGATTCAAATCCTGACTTTGTCACTTAGCACCAGCTATATTATTTTGGGTAAATTGCTTAATCTTTGAATTTCAATTTCCACATCTATAGAATGGGGATAATAATATCTATCTCACTGAATCATTATGAGAATTAATATATGTAAAAATGCTTGAAACAGTGTGGAGCCCTTTACTAGGTTATCAAAATGGTTAGTTTCTCTTTAAAAAATGGACACATGTAAATCCATCATTTAAAAAAGTCTCCAAAGATCTGCCTCCTTAAGCACTTAAATAAACCTTCTTAAAGTTTAATTATTAGAACATTTTTTCCTTAGCTCTCACCTAAAACTCTTTAGGTTGGACATAAATCTATTTTCTCTTATTTAATTCTCCAGCAAAGCACAACAAGTAGTTGATAGCCTCTATATTTGAAAAGTTTTAGTAAACCATTATTATAACCTCCTTTTTCCTAGCAGAGTCCTGATTTCTTTACCTTTCCTCACAGATTTAATTCAGAATTTTAGTAACCACTGGGGCTCCTCTCCAAATCCCTGTGGAAATCTCCATATTTCTTAACCTGCGAGGAAACAAGGCAGAAGTAGAATTATTTAGATCCATGAATTAGGTAATATATTTGATAATTTCCTTTATATCTTCTCAATGCCCTTTGTCTATACTTTGTCTTCACTAGGAAACATTTGCTATATATGCGCCCCAAGATGAAAGAAAAAGTTAGTACAAAAAACTTTAAAAGATAAAATTTAGAATCTTTAAGAAACTTTTTTTTTTTTTTTTTTTTGAGACGAAGTCTCGCTCCGTGGCCCAGGCTGGAGTGCAGTGGCGCCATCTCGGTTCACTGCAAGCCCCGCCTCCCAGTTTCACGCCATTCTCCTGCCTCAGGCTCCCCAGCAGCTGGGACTATAGGCGCCCGCCACCACGCCCGGCTAATATTTTCTATTTTTTAGTAGAGACGGGGTTTCACCGTGTTAGCCAGGATGGTCTCGATCTCCTGACCTCGTGATCCACCCGCCTCGGCCTCCCAAAGTGCTGGGATTACAGGCCTGAGCCACTGGCCGCGGCCAAGAAACCGTTGTAAAGAAACTCAGTTTAAAAAGACATTTAGGTGGAACGTGGATACCAAAATCTAACTTTTTAAGCTCATGTCATTAACAATCCTTGCTTAATCCCTGAACAGGGCTTGTCTTAGCATAAAACACCGTTCTTGAATTCCTATTAGAAACCTACTTGATATTAACTGATCCAGACACTTTGAAGATTATTGGGACATACCGCTAGGGGGGTATGTCTTATTTTCAAATCACCAACTATTACTGCCACAATAGACTTGTGTTTAACCACTAAACTGAACGTTATAGCTTCCGGGCTTTTTCATTTGTTAAGAGAAAAGGGAAGGTAAAATTTAGTAGGCCACAAAGAGTAAAAAAGAAGAAAGCACAAACAGTAAGACTACAGTTGTATTACCTGGTGATGGAACATCGGATGAGCTGGAACATATTCAGATGGAGTCATGGTCAAGGATATCTTCACTCATAGGGTCAGTGGAAAATAAACATAAACCAAGATTGGGATGGCCTCTTTTTTGTATACACCAATTGGTTGAAACTGGATTCTTTCCAGACTTGCAATCAGGTTTACACGTGTTAGTGGGTCTTTACATCTGTTTGTATAATGTCCCTCTGTCTGGGCTGCCTGACTGGGTACCCAATCCGTGCTGGGTCACTGCTATTCTTCCCTGGAAATCAAGGTTCCCTAGGAGTTTGTCAAATCCCATCCCTGGCTAAACTCGGCTCTCGAATCTCCCATCTGCTTTGTGTGTGAGAGGCTCCGGGGTGTGATAGGAAAGGCACTGAAGAGGGAGTGAAAGAAGTGGTGAGGGAGGCTGCCTACTAGCTGAGATGATGTCTTATTTTTGGCGGGGGATGCTCTGAAAGCGGGGAGGCTGAGCTCACTTGGAAAAACTGGAGCTGTGGGGCCGACTCTCAGCAACCGGAACGACGACCGCCAGCGCCCTTAAGTCTCCCTCCCCATCCAGTCCCCTCCCGCAGACCCCGGGGCCGGCCGAAGGGAGATCAGCCAGTCCCCGCGCAAACTGGCCAAGACTAGCTGTGACGGAGGTTGGGAGGGCGTGGGGGGCAGCGACTTGGATGCAGCCCACATCCGCCCCCTCCCAGCCCCAGAAAGGAGGGAGAAACAGCACCTCCCAGCAGGGGTCGCGACCTAACGCTCCACAGCATCCTCTTCTCCGCTCTGGCCGCTTCCTCGCCTCCCCTAGCGCCCGGCGCCCCACTGCCGCGCGTGCGCACCGCAGGCCGGCGCCATGTTGGGGCGGTTTGAAAGCGAGCGCGGGCGTTGAGCTCTGCTGTGACGGCTGAGTAAGCTGCGAGTGAGGCGAGCCTTGAGGCGGGGCGGTGTCCGGGTTCGGGATGCTTTGCGGTGTCTCGCGTTGGGTAACAGGCCTGAGCTTTCGGCGGAGAGCTGTGGAAGTGTGCGGTTTTTTTTGTTTTGTTTTATTTTTATTTTGGGGCCTTAGAGGTGAGTTAGGCCGGGAAGGACGGTGTCTTTTCGAGGGTTGTCCCATCCTGTGACAGCCGAGAAAAGGCGAAAGGAGAGTGGCGAGGAAAGAGGAGGAGACGTTTCCTGAGGGAGGGCGCTTGTGGAGTCTCTGTGGAAGGAGGAACACTGTAGGGGGAGTGCCCCCCGGACGAGGCAGGGTCGCGGTACGCGGCGGAGGGGCCTGACACAGGCGTCTGGGGACCTGAGGCGGCGACGGGAAGGGGCTTGCGCTCTGGGTCTGTCGCTTCCGAACACTTCTCCTTCAGTCCATTGCGGCGCTCGCCCTGGTTGCTGAATAAATGGTTTCGGAGTGAAAAGCACCTCTTTGAAGACCTTGTCTGTGTCTGTGACTGCCTGGCCGTGGAACATCAAAGGGAGGGTGTCGCCTGATTGGGGCTGGAAAAGTTGGAATTCAGAGCGCCCGGTAGGGGAAAGATGCGCAGCGCGGGGTGCGGGCGACCTTCGCTGACCAGTCGTGGATTCCTGGCTTTCTGCTGCTGAGTAAACAAACGTTCCCTTTCCTAACTTAGGAGTCACAGAGCTATTTCCAAGAGTTGTTCTTAATTTCCTGTGCGATATTCCCATTGGCTATTTGACACTGAACGTTCTGTTTTTGAATCAAAGGTAGTTGAAATTTCTTGTCAATAAGTTTAAAATTCTGTTTTTCTGCGTGATGGATTTTCTTTTGGAGATTCGAACTGAAACCTGTACAGAGGAAATGGTAAGATATATGGGATTTGCGTGAGATATATGGGATTCAAAATAATCCTGTGGCTGAAGTGGGAAGAAGTGTGGGTCCATACCCACCTTCAGCCACAATTGGGATCTGTTCAGTGATTGTTGGAAGCAGGATAATGAGTGCATAGGGGTTTATTGAATGATTCTACTTTTGCATACACTTTTGGGGAAAAGTTGGAAAACTTTTCATAATAAAACTTAAATTGTGCATTTTCTTTTTGTCTGTCCTGTGTGTTGAAATAACTAGTAAATGTTATCATCCACTTACGGATACCAATACAACAGCTTTCTCTTTTAAGGTTTTGTAAAATAAAATCAGTAGCCTGTTCGGCATTCAAAGAGGGAAAACGTTTGGTCAGGCTTATCCAAACAAATTTATTTGAGTGAATTTAAACTTATTTAAATAAAAGGGATACGAAAAAGGTGAAGCTAGCTTAGTTTAGCCATTCGTCAGAGATAATACCAGTATTACAGCATTCAGAGAAATCAATGAGACGAAACAACTGTTACCTCCTTATGTTCTGCCATTTGCACTGACCACGGTCAGATCTCTTGTAATGGCCATTGTATGCTCTAACGCTGTGGTAGGATGATGTTTTACTTTGTCTCTTATTTAATTAGAAAACTTTCGATATTTTAAAGCCAAATTTAATAGTTACTAAGATTACAAGTTGTTATAACTTAAATATTTCTAAAATTATAGCCAAAAATTAAACATTATAACATCATAGCATATGTTAAGTCCTCAACAATACTTTTTTAGTATAGGAAATCAATTGCTTTAATTTTAAAAAGAATGTCATCATGGACTGAATTAGTGCCGGTTCTTTCTGTTATTTCTTAGGTTTTCAAATATACATCCTATTACTGTACTGAGGTGGACAGGGATTCCCTCAATTTTAATAACGGACAAACAGTAAGAAGAACACGTTGAGTTGATTTTCACATTATTTAAGCTTCCTTTAAAAGAGGTGAGCTGAATCCATTTAACATAAGAATTGAAAATAGGGAGGGTGGTAGCAAAAAAACGAAGGTCAGGAAATGGTTATTAACTATGTTAGGAAACGTGCATATTGCTAGCTCATTCCAGAATAAGACCTACAGTTTATTTACAGTTAAATGTTGTAAATGTACTAGCATTTATAACATTGAAAGTAAATATTCTCCTTTGTTCCTTCTTCTTTTGAATACTTCATTTGATGGCTTTAAAAAAATTATTGAGCACTATTATCTGCAGCACATGGTGGTAGGCTTATGATTTGAAAAATATTGTGTATAGGGGAATTTTAGGTATTGTGATGTCATAGAATATATCACCATAAGGGAAAAGACTATTCGTAAGTAGTTTTTAGGACTTTTTAAGGAGTGAGTACTCTTTCCTTGGTCTTTTCCATGTATATTCTCAGATTATTTTTGTATACATACTTCCAGGCACGTAGTAGGTACTCACAAAATGTTTTCTAAATCATTGATTAAGAAATTCACAATAATAAAGATAACAACAAATCTACAATTCCAAACAAGGAGTGTCTGTTATAGATAATGGATTTTATTCTTTAAAGAAAATTATGAAAGGTTTACATATTTAGTAATTTTGTTTGTATATGGTCACTATTTTAATTGGCACCTTAACATTTTGGTTTTGTATTACAGTTGTTTTTAAGGGAAATGAATAGAAATAATCCACTTTGAAGAAGCCATGGCAAAATCAAAGACAAAACATAGACTTTGTTCTCGAGAATCTTCAGTATCTTCACTGCTGGCAAGCTGCAGCCTGAGTGATAGTAATTCCTCTAATTCTGATGGCTCTTATCACTATAAAGATAAGCTGTACAGATCTGCTTCTCAAGCTCTACAGGCTTATATTGATGATTTTGATCTAAGCCAAATGTATCCTGGTACCAGCACTGGAAAAATTAACATTGATGAGGATTTTACTAATATGTCACAGTTCTGCAACTATATTTACAAACCAAACAATGGTATGCTTTTATTTTTTATATTTTCTTTATGTTCATATGTTTTGAAGCATTTGAGAGATGTACTGTAGTATTGTAAAGTTTGACATTATTTTTGTTATTTTTTAGTAAAAATAACTTATAATATTGAGATCTGGGTATTTTTGTAAAATGATTATATAATTCTCTATGGAACAGTAATATTCACAAGATGTTAAGAGTTCGTCCATAATAAAGCTTCCTTGAAGACAGGTTTGGAAAATGCAGTTGTTGATAAGTCAATTACTACTTTACTGAACACTTACAGAACGACCCTAGAATAGAAAAAGTTTGTGTTCAGTTCTTAGGGGTATGTGGTCAGTATATTCCAGAAGAAAAGAATGAGAAGAGCTGTTCTCTATGTGTAATCCATGCCATTGCAGGGTTTGTAGGTGAGGAAACAAGTTATTTTTCCACCTAGTTTAATAGCATATTTTTTTCTAAGCTATAGCCAATATTGAGTGACCAGTGTTACTGTGATTGTATTAGTGTATCAAATATGTCTAGATGAAAAAAGTTGAAGAAACAGTAAATTCGAGAACACAGGAAAATTCAGGAGGTTGGAGAGAAACATGCAGAAATTAACACAGAATGAAGAATCATGTGAGAAAAAAAGCACATCCTATTTTATCAACCTATACCTTTTTATACTTTTAATCGAAGCTTTAGTGAGGATAAGGGGAAAGCAGCAAAATGACTCTTAAATTCTTAATTCTCATTTACTGTTGGATATTATAAAATATTTGTATGTAATAAACAGAACTGTTCTTTGTTTTTCAGCTTTTGAAAACCTTGATCATAAAAAGCACTCAAACTTCATCTCCTGTAGAAGACAGACTATTAATGACATAGACTCCATGAGCCTAACAACTGATGATCTATTAAGACTCCCAGCAGATGGATCATTTTCTTATACTTATGTTGGACCAAGTCACCGAACGAACAAGAAAAACAAGAAATGCCATGGAAGACTGGGTTCATCGGACGTTGAGAAGAATCCAAATTTTCAAGGACCCTCCACTCCCATGGGCAAGGATAACTTTGTTACTCCTGTTGTATGCACAAATATAAATGGAAAGCAATGTGGTAGGCTAAAAAACCCAAAACTTATGAATAGGACTAATAATTGCATATCTGAATCATCCTTGTCTTTTCCCAAGAAATCGTCTTTCAAGGACAGTTCAGAACACAGTCTTGAAAAGAATTATCCAAGATGGCTCACTAGCCAGAAATCTGACCTTAATGTTTCAGGGATAACTAGTATACCTGATTTCAAATACCCAGTCTGGCTCCACAATCAAGACTTGCTACCTGATGCAAATAGTCAAAGGGTTTGTCAAATATTTAAAGATGATCAGTGTTCCCATAAACACAGTCATCAAGCACAAGGAACTTCTCAGCTTATGAATAAATTAGATTGTTTTGAATATGCTTTTGAACCCTCAAACTTTTCAAATTCCTTGAGTGATGATAAAGAATTAGTTAATGAATACAAATGTGATTTTGAACATAGTCAATGTGAATGTGAGAATCCACTTCTCCCAGGACAATCCACAAAGCCATTCAGTGGTAATACTTTGTTTATAGCTTATAGTTCTTTTTCTTTTTTTTTAAACCAAAAGAAATGCTGTAAGTTGATGTGATATCTGGGAGCTTTTATGTTTTGTTTTCATGTAATACATCTTTTTAAAATGCTTATAATCTTCACATACAGCATTTTGTACCTAGAATATGTCTTTTCTCCCATTTTTTTCTTTGCCTGAGATGTCACATTGTAACATAATTTGCTGTTATAGATGAATGTACATTCCAAATGATCAGAACTCTTGTTGACTTTGTGAGATCTTGCTATGCTTTACATTAATTTTTTTTCTTTAAGGATTAATAGTCATCTTTTACAATTAGGTGACAAAATTGAATTGCTTATCTTGAAGGCCAAGAGAAATCTAGAGCAGTGTACTGAAGAATTACCAAAGTCCATGAAAAAGGATGACAGTCCTTGCTCATTAGATAAACTTGAAGCAGAAAGATCATGGGAAAATATTCCTGTTACTTTGTAAGTAAGTGACAATGGAAAAACTGTTTAGTTTTCCAAATGAAAAATGTCATATGAATATCTGATTTATATTTAAATGAATGGTGATTAATAATATTGTAATTCCATAGAACATAGCTTTGTGTTACTTGCTTTAAATTTCATTTTTTGTTTATTACCACAAGATGGTATGATGTTTCATAACCTTAGGTACTTTATATAACATCTGTCTTTGTTACGTGTTCAATTTGCTTCATTAAAAATAGTTGAAACATCGTTAATAGAGGGATTAGAACCAGAAACAATGTATTTTGCAGAGTAAGGTAGAATGAATTCTTTTGTTATTTTCTTTCTGACTTAAAGCTTGTTTCCCTCTGTCCTGCCTATAATTCCTCTCCATATAATGGAATTACAAATTGTTCTTTTTCTTTTATTTTTTTTTTTGAGATGGAGTCTTGTTTCGTCACCCAGGCTAGATGCAGTGGCACCATCTCAGCTCACGCAGACCTCCGCTTCCTGGGTCTAAGCACCCCCCTGCCCTCCCCTGCCTCAGCCTCCCCAGTAGCAACTGGGATTACAGCCTGCACCCACCAAATGCCCAGCCTATTTTTTGTATTCCTTAGTAGAGGACCGGGGTATTGCATCATGTTGGCCAGGCTGGTCTCGAACTCCGACCCTCGTCTGATACCCGCTGCCTTTATGCCTTCCCAAAGTGCTGGGTTAACAGCTTGAGCACTGTGCCGCCTAGAGTTAACAAGGATTCTTATTGTCATTATTTACTTTCACCTTTTAGTGTGTTTTCACAATGATGGTACAGTTTTTTATTGTCAGAAATCCTTATTGCTAACCCCGCATATCAAATGGCCTTAGGCTTGATAAATTATTATTTTAAGTTGTCTAAACTTTCATTCTGTTAGACAGAGTCCTGTTAGTTTCCTGGATTCTTTTTTTATTTCCAAGTTGATGTCTGTTTTCAGAAATGTAGACATTGACTATCATTCCAATTTAGAAGCCTACTATGCCATTTCCCCTGCTGTATGGCCTTTACAATTTACTTGACTTCTCTCTAAACTTTAAAGATGGAGAATAATGTCTGCTCAGGGTTATGTGAGACTAATTTTGACTAGAAAATGAATATAAAGTTTCTGACCTAGAATGAGCTCTCTTATAAATTTTAGTAGTGATGATGATTATCTAGAATATTTTGTTTTCTCCTTTTAGCTTAATTTCTCCATATATATTTCATATATATCACATATATATCATATATTTCATATATATGTTGAGATATATATATATTTAAACTTAGGTTGATAATGGGTTCATGTAATTCTTAACTTCTCTTATCCTTTTTGTTTCCTAGTTGCTTATTTTATCACTTGTTCTGTGTATTAATAAAGTATCATAGCTGCAATACTTTGATTTTAATTGGAACCAAAATGGGCAAGCAAGTAGTATCAGAGGTGCTTAAAATTTTTGAATGTACTTAATGTATTTTATAATTTGATAATGTAACTTCTAACTTGTATAATTAATACTATCAATAGTTTGGCTGAGTACCTTGCATATAACAATTCAATTTGGAAGACTGAATTTGTATTGTGATGGGAATGTTTGTAGATAAAACTAGTGATGAATTGCTGAGAAGGAATAGATCTCAGTTTGAGATTGACAAATTATTATCAACCTGTCATCAAAAACAAAATGGAATAGGAGTACTCAAGGTAGTATTTTAAGTGGTAGAGCAAAACCACAATCAGATCATTGCTTTTTTAAAACAGCTATTATGAAAAAGCTCAAATAAATTACAAAAGTAGAATAACATAAGGAACCTCTATGTACTCTTTACCCGTCTTCAACAGTGTGGTAAATGTTTTTTAATAACAGATGGGCAGATCTACAAAGTGTTAGTAAAGAATCGGGGAAAGGACTACCTGATAGTATGAAAGAGCTTGTGAATTAGAAATCAAATATGTCAATAAAGAAGCATGCTTATTAAGAAAAACATCAGCATTGTGTAAATGTTAAAAAAAGATTCTTAGATATCTGAGTTCTTGAGTTACAAACATACCTTATAGTGATGTAAGAATAAGAGAGAAATAGGTTGAATTCATTTTTGTGATTAATAGAATTGGATTCTTGGAACATTCTTATTTTTGCTGGGGATACCCTTTCCTCTACTACCCCGTGAATATCAGGAAAAAAATGGGTATTTATTAAATGTACTAGGTACATAGAAAATTAATTCAGTTTATGCAATATATCTGTGAGATAGATGGGACTACAAATGTTGAAACTGAAATTCAGATAAATTACCTAAGGTCATACAGTGAGTGGGACTGAGATTGCATGCAGGAATGTTAATTTCAGAATTCTTTTTCCAGAATAATCTGTCCTTTATGTTAATACCAGTTATAAAGGGGAAGTCTGTTCTGTTGCCTTCAAGTAGGAGAACATTTAACTGCCATTCTAGTAAAAACTTTTAATAGTTCATGGGGTTGTTGATTATTATCTGGTAACAATGTTTAATTGGAAAAATGTACTGTTTATTTCAAACAAGGTGAACTTGTGGAGCATAGTCTATAGTTCAGGCCTTGTTTAGCTGAATGCTGATATCTTCAGTTTCTTCATAGTGTTTTCTTAAAACTTGAAAAGAGAAGCAGGGAGATAAGAAGGGGTTGGATTCTGGTATCAGTTTAGGGAGAAGATAAGGGAATTGCCATACAACATTAATATGGATCATATCCATGATGATTATTTCTTGGTGATTACTTGTATTTAAATGAGAATTCTTAAATCATGTACTGTTTACTTTTTAGAAATTGGGAACGTAATTACTATCTTGCATCCTTTAAATCCTGTTTAGCAAATCTCCTATTCCTGTTAACTCTGATGATAGTCCTCAACAAACTTCAAGGGCAAAGAGTGCTACAGGGGTTCTTGAAGACTTTCTAAATAATGATAATCAGGTAGGTGAAATTAAAAGCTTTAAAACGTATTAAAAAATTTATGAATAATATGTAGATACTAATTTTTAAGTTACTTAGATAATTTAAAGTAAAAAAGACTCAAATCTCCTTTCAAATACACATAATTCCTTCCAGAATTATTGATTATATTATTTTTTATAATATTTAAGATTTTAAAATTAACACATAATGATCATACATATCTGGGATACATGGTGATGTGATACACCATGAATATATAGTGATCAAATCAGGGTAATTTGCATACCATCAGCGCAAATATTTATCATTTCTTTGTGTTGGGAACTTTCAAAAATCCTCTCTTTAATGTATTTGGAAATATATAATAATTTATTGTTAGTTATAGTTAGCTGATACTGCTTTAGAACACTAGGACTTATTTTTTCTATCTAGCTATAATTTTTTTATCCTTTAAGCAATCTCTCTCTATTCCTTACCTCCCTCCTACCTTTCCCAGTCTCCAGTAACCACTGTTCTACTCTTTACTTCTATGAGATAAGCTAGTAAGCTTTCCCATATAAATGGGAACTATGATATTTATCCTTTCTACATCCTTAGCTTTCATTTTACCTACATAATTGCTGCCTCCAGAGTGATACATTTTGTCCAAATGACCAGGATTTCTTTCTTTTTGAAGACTGAACTATATATAATATATATATATATATATATATTATTTTTTTTTGGGGACAGAGTCTTGCTCGTCACCCAGGGTGGGAGAGAAGTGGTGCGATCTCGGCCTCACTGCAAGCCGCTCCCGGTTAATGCTATTCTCTGCTTCAGCCTCCTGAGTACGCCTGGGAATAGGCGCCCACCACCATGCAAAGAGCTAAGAATTTTTTTTATTTTATATATTTTTTTTTTTTTTTAGATATTATGTAGAGAGAGGATTTTAAGCGAAGACACGGGAGGACAGAAGAGAATCGGGAAGAGCACTTGATCACACTTGCACATTAGAAATCCGCGCCTTGGCCTCCCAAACACTGCCGGTTTACAGGCTTGAGCCGCTGCGCCTGGCCTGGCTGAACAATATTCTGTTGTATATATATGTCACATTTTCTTTACCCTTCTATCTGTTGATGGATACTTAAGTTGAGTCTGTATCTTGACTATTGTGAATAATGCTGCAGTAATAGATAATACTAATTTATATTCCACAAGTGATTATTTCTTAAAGGTAAGTTGTAATGGGAAATCTTAAACCATAATAATGACCTTCTTTGTCTCTTTCTACAATTGTTGACTTAGTCTGATTTGTCTTATATAAGTAAAGCTACTCCTACTTGCTTTTGGTTACCACTTGTGTGGAATATCTTTCTCCATTCTTTCACTTTAAGTCTATGTGTATCTTTAAAGGTGAATGGAGTTTCTTGTAGGCAACATATAGTTGGACAATGTTATTTTTATCTACTCAGGAAGTCCATTTCAAATTTTAACTGGGGAATTCAATTTGTTCACATTCAAGGTTAATATTGATAAGTGAGGACATATTCCTGTCATTTTGTTTACTGTACTCTGGTCATTTTTTATGTTCTTTCTTCCTTTTTTCCCCTCATATTATCATTATGGTTTGGTGGTTTTCTGTAGTAGTGTTTTATTCTTTTCCCTCTGCTAGTAAGTTTTATATTTCCATGTATTTTCATGATAGTGATTATCTTTTTGCTTCCAGATGTAGAATTCCCCTGAGCATTTCTTGTAAGGCAGGTCTAGTAGTGGTGAATTCTGTTGGTTTTGGTTACGTAAGAAAGAGTTTATTTCTCTTTCATTTCTGAAGGAAGGCTTGGCTGGACATAGTATCTTGGCTTGTGATATTTTTTTCGACCCTTTTAATATATCATCCCATCCTCTCCTGGCCTTTAAGGTTTCTGCAGAGATATCCACTGTCGGTCTAATGGGAACTTCCTTACATGTGACTTGATGGTTTTCTCTTGCTGTTTTTAGAATTGCCTTTGCGGTGTAACCATAATGTGCCTCTGGGAGGCTGTTTTTAGCTTAAATCTACTGGGGGCCATTGAGCTTACTGGATTTGAATGTCCATATCTCTTCCCAGATGTGGGAAATTTTCAGCTATGATTTCATTAAATAGGTTTTCTGTGCCTTTTGACTTCCCTTCTCCTTGTGGAATTCCCATGGTAAGACATTTGTTCATTTTATAGTACCCTTCAAGTCTTGTAGGCTTTCTTTACTGTTTTTCCTTCTCTGATGGGGTAATTTCAAGTGACTTATCCTCAAGTTCAGAGATTCCTTGTCTATTTGATCAAGTCTATTAAGCTCTCTATTGTATTTTAAAATTTCATTCATTGAATTCTTCACTGCATATTTTCTGTTTGGTTCTTTTTTATGATTTCTGTTTGTTGACTTTGTTGCTTATATTGTGAATCGTTTTCCTGATTTGGTGAAATTATCTCTCTGTGGTTTTTTTGTATCATTGATTTAAAAAAAAAAAAAAAGATTTTGAATTCTTTTCCCACCAATCTGCTGATTTCCTTTTCATTGGAGTCTGTTACTAGAGTTATTATATTCCTTTGGTGGTGTCATATTTTCTTGGTTTTTCATGTTTCTTGTGTTTGTTTGTTGGTATCTGTGCATCTTTCTGAATTATTTTCTGTGTGTTTTGTTGATGTTTGCTGTGTTTTCTTAGAACAGCTATTTTGAATTCTTTGTTTGCCAGATCATCTGCAGGTCTGTAGGATCAGTCACTTGTTTTGTAGAGGTTTTCTGTTTGGATTTGTCTGAAGTTTTCTCATGATTAGAATGAGGTTATGCATTTTTGGCAAGAATGCTGAAGAAGTGATGTGCTGTTCTCACTGCATCATGCTCATTATATATTTATATCATTAATGTATTGATAAGTTAATGCAATAATAGTAATATGTAATAAAGATAGAATATGTAAAAACTGGTTGTATTAAGTTTGAACACTTAGTTAAGGTGATCTTTATCCTTAGTAAAGATACTGATTCTACTTGTAATTATTAAATATCTTAGAAAGAACTTTGAGACTTTGCAGATATCCTGTTTCTCCTCAAACTTTCGTCTACTAATTTTAGTATCCATTTGTGAATCCTGTCTTGTTTCTATATTAACTGAAAACCTTGTATAATGAAAAACTATCTTTTCCTTTATATTTGTTTAGTAAATTATATTATACAGAATCACTAATTTATTTTATTCTTGGTTTAGAGTACAGTATTATTAGTTATGCTGCTGTTGAAATTGTTTCAGGTTAGGCCATTAGGAGTTCCTTCATGTTGGCTCCTGTGTCCTTTTTACATGTCTCCATTCTTTTTTGAGCAGTTCTTTGAGGACCCATGGTTCTTTGTGTTGGAAAACGGCATTTAGAAACTAGGATCTAGGCATTAGTTGTGCTGAGTGCTACTAGGGTGTTGTTCATTATAAACTATGTCAGCAGGAAGATCTAGGAAACAAGTTTACCAACCCACACATACTCACATATGTACATTTTTTTATCTGTTGATCTGTGTACATATATGTGTATATGTGTGTGTACCTATAAATAAACACATATATGTATAAAATCATGAGTTCGTTTTGATACCTCTGATTCCAGTCTAATACCATGGTTTGTTTTAGCTTTTCCCATTCCCTATTTGTAACTTTCTCCTCCTATGAGAATCCTTTCATTATCTACAGTAAGTTTGTTTGTTCAGTCTTACTATACATGCAAAGTAGTTTTAGAATTGCTAACCCATATTCCTGTAATTAACGAATTTACTAACTAGATTACATTATTTGTCTATTGCTTTTTTTTTTTTTTTTTTTTTTTTGAGACAGAGTCTCACTCTGTCTCCCAGGCTAGAGCACAGTGGCACAATCTCTGCTCACTGCAGCCTTTGCTCCCAGGTTCAAGCAATTCTCCTGCCTTAGCCTCCCGAGTAGCTGGAATTACAGGCACCCACCATACCCGCCTAATTTTTATATTTTTAGTAGAGGCAGGGTTTCACCTTATTGGCCAGGCTGGTCTTGAACTCCTGACCTCAAGTGATCCACCTGCCTCAACCTCCCAAAGTGTTGGGATTACATGCGTGAGCCACCACACCCAGCTAAATATTGCTCTTTTGATCTTTAGCCTTATAACATCATATCAAAATACTGTTTTCCAGAGTTACTTAGGTTAATTATTTTCTTCCCAACTCCCTTTGGTGTGGTTGTGCTGTTTATTTATAATACTGTTAGTTGGTTCATTTGTCTTTGTATACGGTTAGTCCTCTGTATATGTGGGTTCCACATCCATAGATTCAACCAACTGCAAATTGAAAATTTGGAGAATAATAATAAACATAACAATACAACAGTAAAACATAATTTAAAACACAGTATGCAAGTATTTATGTACTGTTGACGTTGTGTATTATTTATTAAAAGTAATCCTTAGAGATGATTTAAAATTTACAGGAAGATATGCATAGCTTATATGCCAAATACTGGGTGCCATTTTATAATCAGGGACTTGAACTTCCTTGAACTTTTTTTTTTTTTTTTTTTTTTTTTTTTTCTTTTTTCGAGACGCATCTCCACTCTCTGGGCCCCCAGCGCCTGGAGTGCAGTGGGCACCGATTTCGGCTAAAACCTGCCAAGCCTCCACCTCCCGGAATCTGGCCTTCTCCTTGCCTCAGCGCCCCCTGAGTAGCTGAGACTATGGGCTCCACCACCCCCCACCCCGCGCACACGCCTGGCAAATTTTTCTTTGTATTTTCAAGTAGAGATAGGGTTTTCACCATGGTTAGCCAGGATGGTCCCTCGATCTCCGATCGTGATTCCGCCCACCTGGCCTCCCCAAAGTGCTGGGATTACCAGGCGTGAGCCACCACACCCAGCCCAGTCCTTCCTTGAACTTTTTATATTCACACAGGGTCCTGGAAACAGTCTCCCAAGAAGCCAGCGATGACTGTATATTGGGTTCTCCTCTTGTTCTGTTTGGTTTAAATAATTTGTTTTTTGAATGTATGAAATGTCACTATGGTTCTAAGAGTCAGAGATATACAGAGACGTACCCAGAGACATTTACTAGCAGATGTCAATGACAAGTCTCAGAACAAATTGTATTATCCATACAATATTTTTAAAACATTCATTAACAGTGGCACAAACAGTTCGTATGTTTTCTAGTTTTCTGTCTTCTTTTGATACTGTGACCACTACTTTGCATGAAAATCACTCAGCTCAGGCATAAATTCCAGAGGCAGCCTTTTGTAACTATTATGGTTGGCATAAGGCAGCTGAAATTCTAAAATAAGATAGTGGCTGGATGCAGAACATTTGGAGATTATGCCTCAGATGCTGTCTCCCAGGGTGTAGGAGTATATCCTAACTGGATCCTTTTGCCTTGTTTGTTTTTTTTTTTTTAATGTTTTTATATTGTTGTGGTAAAATATACATAACATAGAATTTACCATTTTAATCATTTTTAAGTGTACAGTTCTGTGGCATTAAGTACCTTCACATTGTGTGTAGCTATCAACATTGTCCATCACCAGAACTTTATCTTCTCAAACTGAAACTTTGTACTCATTAAAACTCTAACTCCCTATTTCCCCCTCTCCCCAGCCCCTGGTAAGTAGCTTTTTACTTTCTGTCCCTATGGACTTGGTACTGTAGGAACCTTGTATAAGAATAATCATTATATATGTATCTTGTTGTGACTGGCTTATTTTGATTAGCATAATGTCTTTAAGGATCATGTATGTTGTAGCATTTGTCAAAATTTCCTTTCTTTTTTAGATTGAACAATTTTCCATTGTATGTATGTGCCACATTTTGTTTATTCATTTACCTGTTGTTGGACTCTTGGGTTGCCTCCATCTTTTGGCTATTGTGAATAATTTTGCTGTGAACATGGGTATACAAATATCTACCCAAGTCCCTGCTTTCACTTCTTTTGGATATATACCTAGGAGGGAAATTGCAAGATCATTCAGTAATTCTATGTTTAATTTCTTGTGGAATTCCTGTACTGTTTTCCACAATGGCTATGGCATTTTACCTTTTCATTCCCTGTTTCTTATATCCTGTTCTGTAACTGTGGAAATGTCGTTAAAATCTTTTTAGCCATACTGCTTACTTTGAGTATCTTATGCTAATCAACAACTTTCTATAGAATTGAAGTTTAAGTAGTACTTATGGTGCACAGTCTATGCTAAAATATATTAAATTACAGACATCTGTAGAGTCCTATTTGCTACTTGGTAGATAGCTATTAGGACACAGAAACTCATTTGAAAGATGTAAACTAATAGACTGATAAGACTTTTAAAAAGAAATTTTAAAATATCCCTCACCAATTATCTTAAAAGAATCCTGACCATCTTATGTGTCTGAAGCACTGCTGCATTCTTTGAACACAAATAAGGTCAGTGGTAATCGAACTGTGAGTGTTATTTAGGTAGAAGGAATGTATGGCCCATGAAGAGGTGAAAAGCTAGCATTCTGTTATAAAAACATGTTTTAAAGTGTGCAGAGAATACTGTATTTGAAATTTTGGTCCTTGATCAGCTGAAAAGAACATGTTGGCTTACCTGTCCTCTGAAGACCTTTCATTTCATTTAAAATTTGTGATTTTGAATGTGCTAAATTAATTTGTCATAAATATAAACGTGCATTATTTATTTTTAAAAAGCAGTGACTAGAAAGGATATGCCAAACTGTTAATCATGATTGTCTCTAAGTAACTTCACCTGGGGCTTCAGAATAGGGAAGTGGTGAGTTACAATTTTGATTTTTTAAAATATTGACATATATTGTTTGGATTTTTACATTGGTTTTCTATTAGGGGAAATTAATACAAAATAAAACTCTTCTTTCCCTTAGTTTGGATGGTTAACCTTATACTATCATCTGTTTTAACCTTAGAGCTGTACTCTTTCTGGAGGCAAACATCATGGTCCTGTTGAAGCCCTGAAACAAATGTTATTTAACCTTCAAGCAGTACAAGAACGTTTTAATCAAAATAAGACCACAGAGCCAAACGAAGAGATTAAACAAGTAAGCACAAACATGATTTATGAATTGAGATTTGTGAATTTGTATAAAGATTTTTTTCTACATTTTTTAATAGACCTACTTATAGTTTCATGTTAGTAAGCATGCCATATACACATGTTGTAAGTGGCAGTAGTATTTTTTTTTTGTTAGGAAGTAATGTACTCAACATTTAATTCTGTTTGATTTCTGTAGGTGTTTATCTCTAAACAGATTGTTCTATTTAACTTATGGTTATAAATCCAACATCTTATTTAGTTATGATGATGTTACAACTATAGTATCAAAGGGTTTTAAGAGTTGTTTTGTAATGCTCTACAAAATTAATCTATATGGCCCATCTTCTGGTAATTATATTCGGGGAGACCTGGAAAACTTTTTCAACATTAGATTCCTCCACACACCTTTGTCATTTGAAATTTAATTTTGTTGCTGTGTGTTTATTGGCTGTTATGAATACAGTCATATCAAGTTTTATTTTAAAGCAATTTTATTTTTTCAATTTGTGTATTTCCCGGGAATTTGAAAATCTGTTTCTGTTTTGGACTGCCATTCTACATGATGAATTTTTTCCCGCAAAGGTATAGTGTTTAAGAACATAGAGTTTCTGTTTTCCCAAATGTGATAGTGAATTATAATTCTGTCACTTACTAGCAAGTGCAATATTTGTGCAAATCATTTAACTTCTTTAGTTTCAGTTTCCTATTTAAAAAATTATTGATTTTTAATTGACAATATATATATATTTTGGATGTACAACATGATGTTTTGAAACATCATGGAATGGCTAGGGGAGCTAATTACCTCACGTACTTTTTGTGGGGAACATGTAAAATCTACTCCATTAGTAATTTTCAAGTATACGATATGTTGTTTTTAATTTTAGTCACCATGTTGTAGAATAGATCTCTTGACCTTATTCTTCTCACCTAACTGAAATGTTGTATCCTTTGACAAACATCTCTGCAACTCCCCTGTCCCCACACCCAGATTCTACCTAGAAGTGAGATTATTATTTAGTGTCTGTCTTTCTATGCTGGGCTTATTTTATTGATCAATTTCTTTTTCTGTACAGTGAGGATGTTGAGAAGATATATATATATATAAATATATATATATAGATATATGTGTATATATATAGTTTGTTGAGATAAACTATATAAAGTACTTAGTATAGTGCTTGGTACATGGTAAATACTCAATAAATGATGGCTGTTTTTATTGTCATTATTTTATTGTTATTCAGTAGATATATGAAATTCAGTTTTCATTACAAATGAGTGGATCAGCTTTTGAGAACCTTCATAGTCTGCTCATTTGAGTTGTATTTCTTAATTTCTGTCCTTACATTCTAATAAATCATAACGTTAATATGTCATCTGATCCTTCTTCCCTCTCTTGTTTTAAACCTGTCATTGAGATACAAACCTGTTCAGTAAAGTCATAATTTTAAGCCAAGACTTGATTTTAATGGACACATGTGTAGAAGTATACTTTAGGACAGTTGAAGAAATGGCTGTTGTAGTTGGAATGTTTTTACAATAAATGAAAAATAAAATATATCTTTGTAAATATGTAGAATCTTTGGAAATGTACGGAAATATATTTTTAATGTTTTAATCACATTGTAAATACATAAATTTTAGCTGGGTTATATAATTATTGTTTAATATTTTTTTAATATTTTGGTGTTTTGAATAAATAGGTTTCAGAAGATGATTTCTCTAAATACAGTTGAAAAAGTATGATCCTATTACCAGGGTCGCTTCAGAAGGTAAGTATGTCTTAACGTGAATATGATGGGCGGAATGCCTCTTAGCCTTCTGCTGACTGCAAATCAAAGTAATTTTACAGTAGAAATAAGTGTAGTGTGAAGAGAGTAGCCGACTTGTGTGTTGGCTTCCACGGCGATTACTTTAAGCTTCTTGGCGATGCACACTCGATGTTAAGAATTTAAAGCAACTAACATTTTTAAGATATTATTACATTTGTTTTGCTTTTAACGACTGGGTGCCTTTTTCCTATTCAGAAATCGTCTGCGCGTAAAGGATCCTAATGCACTGGATGAGGCTCTTAGACCTCCTATATAATGATCAATGGCGATATGATGTCATGACTCATTTTTGAGTGTAGTTAATAGCAGAACGACACCGCAATTGTTAATATAAAGTGATATTGTCATTTATTGTGAGTATCCTATAACAGGAACTTGTATGAAATGTGTTTTCATATATTCTCTCTAGAATAAATTTAATAATAAATGGATCATTATTTGGAACATCACTACAGAAATCTAAAGTAGATATAATGACCTGGATATAAAGATAGGTCTAATTTTCTTAGTTACATTATCTTAAATAATAAAATGGAGAAAAATACAAGTTGTTTCTATAGTCATAATATTGACAGAAGAGAATGGTATTTATTTTGGAGTTTTTGTGTGACTATAAAGTGTCCTCAGAAGATGGAATACTGAGCTTAGGAAATACTGAGATTAAAAGTTTCTGCTCTAATCACACCGTTTCACGTGGCTACCTTTTAAACTTTGAGAATTTGCTTAGGCTTCTGTGATCTAAGGAAATGGTGGAAAAATAAAACACTAGACATGTAAACTTATGAATCTAATTGTCACAAATGTGTATATAGTTTTCATAGTTAAAATAGATCATGTAAGATAATTTTTTTCTCTCTACTTAATTTATTATCTTTAGGGTATAAATAATGCACCTTTGTTTGTAGCTTGCCATAGTACTGGGGTATAATGTTCCATACCTAATAGAATTCAGTGAATAATGATAGTAGTAGCTAACATTGAATGTTTACCAAACGTCAGTATTCTAAGTGTTATTGAATATAATTCATGTGATATTCACAACCTTATGCGGTAAGTACTATTATTATTTTCATAATACAGATCAGAGAATAGGCATGGAGTAGTAAAGTAACTTGTCCAGTGTTGCATAGCTAGTAAGAGGAAGAAGGGTGATTCAGACTAAGTAGTCTGATTTGAAAGTCTGTATTTTTAACACTCCTTTCATTAATAATAGTGATGAATTATTCATTGAGACTAAGTACAGGGCCTCAGTTGATCATCTAGTATGAAGACTTCATTCTGCTTTAAAATTTGAGGTGAATGACCATAGGTTTTCCATTGCTCTTTAAAGCATTGATACTGAACTTGTCACAGACCTAAATGTGTTTTCTGAGGTAATGTACATATCCTAGATGTTTTTCCTGGTGAAAACAAACACTGGATTGCAAGTCATTAAATCACCACAAAAATCAATACTGATCTATAAGTGCTTTTACCATTTGCTAGAATTTTTTTAATAGTAACTTTTTTTCTACTATAAGCAATCAAGTCTTACCTGTATATGGAGTTTCATTTTTAGAGAGAGTAAGTTTTATGTTTTGTTACATGGCCTTTAGTTATTAATTCTGTTGTATTAATTGGAGCAGTCTTAATTTGTCTTTACATTCAGAAGTATTATCAGTAAGACGTTTGTACTGTAATGAAGTAAGTTTACACTTAGAAAAGTTATTTTCAGTCTGTAGATTAACTGTTTTAAGGACAATTTAAATTTAATTCTTTCTCAGAATTCCTTTTTCTGGCTGCAAAATATTCTGGTTAGCTATATGGTCATCTTTTCATACTTCAGATATTTCAAATGTATTTCAAAATTTCTAAAATATTTCCAAAATCTTTCAAAAGTTACTGGTTATACTTTGTAGGCTTTATTGGCCTTTCCTAAGCTAAAAGTCCTATTATGGCTCTTTACATTCCTCAAATAACAGTTTTTGTTTTTAATAATTTGGGTGGCTTCATAGGTGGGAATTGAACAATGAGATCACTTGGACACAGGAAGGGGAACATCACACACCGGGGCCTGTTGTGGGGAGGGGGGAGGGGAAGGGACAGCATTAGGAGATATACCTAATGTAAATGACGAGTTAATGGGTGCAGCACACCAACATGGCACATGTATACATATGTAACAAACCTGCACGTTGTGCACATGTACCCTAGAACTTAAAGTATAATAATAATAAAATAATAATAATAATTTGGGTGGCTAACCAGTTTTAAGATATCTTTCATTACCCATAGGGAACTGTAAGCTAGTAGTCTGGCCTTTGTTTAGTCCCTTAAGTACTCAGTTTTCTTATATTCTTCAAGTGGAAACATGTGCTCTCTAGGAAGACTCATTGGAGCTGGGATTACAGGCGCATGCCACCACGCCCGGCTAATTTTTGTATTTTTAGTAGAGATGGGGTTTCGCCATGTTGGCCAGGCTGGTCTTGAACTTCTGACCTAGGGTGATCCACCCACCTCGGCCTCCCAAAGTGCTGAGATTACAGGACTGGCCACCACCTCCAGCCGAATGTTTTAAAATTTTAGTTATTTTGCCTCTGATTGGTTAGTAGCTTTGGGTGAATTATTGTCACTTAGTCAATGAAGGTGGGAATCTCAAAAATTAACTGAAGTTGCCAAAAAAGGTGGGAGAATTGAGAGTCTTCTTATTACATTTGAGTAAAAGTGTCCAAGAAGTATAGAGTACAGGGAAATAGATATACATGCAATAATTAATGCTACTAGTTTCCTTCCATCTCCTTGTCCTGGATAAAGTGGAAGATGCAGTTTATTATACATTTATTGAACAACTTCTATGTGTTAGAGACTATAGAATAGAGTGTTGTAGTCATTACCTTTCTGCCCACCATAAGTGGAAATTACTGACATTGGAGGTTATTACACTGCTTATGTTTTTTTTCTTTTTTACATTTAATTGTGTTTTTTTTTTTTAGATGGAGTTTTGCTTTTGTTGCCCAGGCTGGAGGCTGGAGTGCAGTGGCACGATCTTGGCTCACTGCAATCTCCACCTCCTGGGTTCAAGCGATTCTCCTGCGTGCGCTCCGGAGTAGCGGATTACAGACGACTTGCGCACCAGCCTGGCGAGATTTGCTTGTATTTTTAATAGGGAGTGGATGTGTCACAGTGTTGGCCAGGTTGGTCTCAAGACTCCTGACCTCGGTGATCTGCCCAATCCCGAGTCTTCCAAGTGCATGGATTACAGGTGGAGCGCACTGCTGTGTGCGTGCATGTTAAGTACTTATATTGTCACTCTGTTTTCCTTAATATCTTTCGTATTTATTCAAAGATTGAAATATTGACTATTAACTGACGTTTGTTCTGATGTGGTCTCCAGGAAACTGAAAGACTAGGGGAGAGAAAAACTGAAAAAATATGAAGTAGGAGAGGCTTGGAAGTTTAAGGGCCTCTTTCTTGGTTTGAGACGATGAGTGTGTCTCCAGCTGAGAGACCTGCAAGTACAGTCTTGGCATTGATTTTGAGAAAAATCTAGGTTGGTGTGTTTGTGAGCACCGATGTGAGTAGTGAGTTGTTGATAGTTGAGTGTGTCGACACTCAATTAAGAAAATGAGTATTTGTTCTAATCTGTAACTAATCATTAAATTGCGGTATGTAAGAGAGAAGTAGCTATCTGAGTGAGTGAAATGTGTAGAAGAGTGAATTTCTTATTGTTATTTCGTAAGTGAGAGAGCGGTGCAGCAAAGGTGTGATTTCACAGAGCTTGTGAAGAGTTACTTGAAAAAAGTGGTATGTTGTTAAGTGTGATACAATGTACCTATTGTTTCTTGTTAGGGCACTGGCAGACTATCGTGTAAGAAGTGTGAGTGTCGAGAAAGGTGATGTGTGTGAAGTAAATGTTTGAGTGGAACTTTAAATTTTTTCAACCCTCAGTTATTCACATCTCAAGTTTATAAGAAATAAGTCGTCAAGCGTGTGATATTAACTTGTACTTCTCAGACCAATTTTGAAGTGAGAGTGAGTCAACGTATTATATTTATTTTATTTTGGCGTCTGCATTGGCTATTCAGTTGTTAAGTATTGGTTCTACAATGTGTTTTTATACTTGTTAAGAAGGCTTTGCACCCTTTCTCTGCGCTTTGAGAGACCTGGTTGATGATACCAATGGGAGGAGCGCGAAGTGGGAGAGAGAAGAGTGTCGTGAGTATCACCACAGAACGAGATGCATTTTTTTGTTGACTTAAATGACAAAGTAGATGAGTAGCGCGTACGTATTTTTGATTGTGCGGGATTATGAGTGATGTGTGCGTGAGAAGAGCAGTGAAACTTGAAAAGTCCATTAGGTTTTAGGACCTGTCTTCATTTTGTGCCAACCAGTACTAGATGTGAAGTGAGTCGCGACGTAGTGATGTGAAGTGTTGTACTTTCAGTGTGTGTGCGGCAAATGTCGTCATATTTAAAGATGATGACTTCGGTGTTGTGTGAGTACCTGGATTTAACCTGTGTTGCGAGTGCGTGAGCATTGTATTACTCTGGTTCAGAGTCATTTAAGAAACTTTTACTGTTTTTATCCAAAATTCTTATTATGTGAAATATGACTGTTTTTAGAGTATAGTTAGCGGATACTTAGAAGCGCTTAAAGGAATATAAAATTGTTATTGTGTATGTCATCTATGCAGAAGTCTGGTACTTTGAAATTTTAGTGAGAATGTGTGTGTTGAGGATACATTGTAATTTGAAAGTGTAGATGTGAGTGAGCGTGTGTGAGAAGGAATGTTGTATTGTGACATTCAAGGGAACCTCTCCAGTGCTCTAATTAGTACTCTTCGGTTCGTGATGTAAGATCAATATTGATTAATGTTGCGTTTGCGAGCGCGTTGTTGGAGTATTTAGAATTTAATATTTTCCAATATATAGGTTGTTTCCAGATTTTAATTTTGGGGTTAGCTCAAACTTCGTTGAAAACTGAGTCGAATGCGCGAGTGTGTAGTGTTGTGATAATTAAAACTTAAAAATGTTTATGAAAATCACGGAAAGCAAACTCTGTATTTGTAGAGCGAATTGTGTGAAGTGTGTGTGTGTGTAACACAACTGTTCTTAAGTTTGTCTCTAGCTGAACCGAACAAGCTCTGTAATTTTTACCAAGCACTTATTATTGATACTTCTTATAAGTAGTAAGCATCTTTATTAACACAACTGAGAATTAAGTCATAAAACATAACTAATACAGCACATTACAGCCTGATGACATTAAAGAATGTGTATATATAACTACCACAGATTAACACTTCACCCAAATGATAGCGTTTTTCCTCAGTAGATTTATTGTCAAATAGGAATTTCTAAGCACATTGAGTCAAAGCATTTTTTCCAAGTTAATAAAACATCATTTAACATCTTTGTTAGAGGTGACACGTCAAACACTACAGTGAGCTCTGTGGGTTTTATTTGTTTGTTTGTTTGTTTTTTGCCAGTGAGTTTTTTACCATGCTGCTCTGACCAGTTTGAGAGGCAATCACCAACGGATTTGTTTTCTTTATTCTGTGGAGATGTTTTTGCCACTGACACTGTTTTCTGATTATAGTCTGCTTCATAGAAAATAGCCTGCATAAACAAACAAGGAATTACTTTGAAATTAAAGTATGCCTGACTATTAAAAATGCAGAGTTTAGGTGGGTAAACATCAGGTAGGTCTGGGTGGGTCATATTCTAGGCCTAGAAAAATCCACTGTTAGACAAGTTCTAAAGAAGGCAAGGAGATAAAGGCATCAGGTGGTAACTTCTAATTGAATATTATATGTTGATCATACATAATATATACTATGCCTGGAAATTGTAATGACTGAAAAGCACCTATTTGGTTAGTGCTCCTATTTATGAGACTGTATCTCCAATACTAAATGAGATAAGCTTGTTCTAAAATCTTATAGCCAGTATTTTAAGAAACTTGATTATACTTACCAAAGGAACATTGTTTTCTCTTGTTTTAAATATGGAGAGGTTTAATCCTTTACCTAACAAAGGAATTAATTTTAGCAAAATGATTCATTCCAACCTTCTTATAAGAAATCTCTAGGAGAGTCAACTAAGAAAAATAACGAATCTAAGTGATAAACATTCAAGAAATACTCTAAGTAAGAGATTTAATTACAATTTTAATATCTCAGGATTCTTTTTAGGTTTCCAGGGGAAAAGAGCAGGATAATAGTGTGGAGACTGCTAAGTTGAGAATTTAAAAGAAATGAGAACATAAAATTTTTAAAATTGCATTGTGAATGTAAAATTTTTATCTTTTGCTCTCTTTTAGATGTGTTGAGAAAATGTTAAATAGAAAAAAGTAAGAAATTTTAATAAGATGTTTCAGATCTTTGAGTATGAAAAATATAACAAAAAAGCCTAATTTCAAAAGACTATTTGAGATCAAGGGACAATGGTGTGACCAGTATGAAGGGTCAAGACTGAAATATATTGTCTTTACTATCAAGAACTCTACTTTCAGTTTTTTCTCACAGTTAATTTCAGCTTCATAGAGTTTTCTGACCAAATTAAAAAACACTGTTTTCTTGGGTTTGTTTTGGGTATATGTCATTATAGTTATGTTATTTCTTGTTGAAATTTATAATTGTGGGGTTTTTTTATTGTTTTAATATTTAATGGTGTATAATGTGTTATTAAATTATACGTAGTTATACCAAAATGTTGCCTGAAGATAAATCATGACAAGGTCCCATGTTTATTTCTATGTTATAGATACCTGGAATTGATCTTGTAGATTTGAATTTTTGTTTCATTTTTTTCTGTCCCACCCTTTGCTCTGTATATCTCAGAACATTTTTGGTAGAAGTGCTATCCAGAAGTGAACTTGTCAAAAGGCAAGTAGCATGAAAGGAGACAGAAGAAGCAAAAGGCCAATACAGAGGATAATTTCTGAGCACTTGAAGTTTCTTCAAATGTGCAAGACTGTGTGTCTTCCTATTAGATGTATGAATTGGATATTTCATGCCTAATTAAATGTGTTGGATTGCAGTGCCTATCATACAGCGATTGGAGTAAATTGAGGCCTAATCCTGAACATATTGTAGAGCATATTGTTAGATATTTTTCCTGTGATATTTGAAGTTATTATTTTCCCATTTCCTTTTTCTTTTTTTCTTTGTAATCATATGTCCCTAAGATTGTTTTCCTTTTTTGGACCAAAAACAAGAACAAAAACTTAGCTTTTTATCCTCCCAGTGTATTCTGCATTGTCCTTACCCTAGATCAGCCCCTTCTGTGTAACAGTTTTTCTCACAATGTAGCAACTTTTATCTACCCTTCAGTACTTTCACTGGGACTAGTTCATTCATTTTCAAATAGCTATTTCAACCTTTAACCTCTCCTGTCTTTGTCTTTTACACAGAAGCCAGAGTGACTGGTCTTGGCAAGACTCTGTTGTGTATCACCACTGTAACCTTAATGATTTGTTTCAGCAAATTTGCTGTAGTTCAATTGCTTTACTCAGATTCCCCCAAACTTTATATGTGTATTCTCACCTTTGTGTATATTATTTCTCATGCATGAAATACTCAATTTTTATTCTTTTATCTAAAGCTTACGCTACATTTCTTTAAAGCTCTGACCAAGTATTTTATTTTGTCCCTAAACATTCTAACTATCCACCAAACTGTGGTAAGTTGGCTTTTCTTTTTCCTTCCCCTGTCATTTATTTACCTGTTATATTTCATTTTAATATTTTGGATGGTACCTCTTATACTATGTTGTATTCCTAGACAAGGAAATGTATATCAAAATATGTTAGATGATTGATTGTTTTATCTCCTCGATGATAGAACTTTTTATACTGCTTTACAGAATCAAGAAAAAGTAAAGTGTATTTTACATAGTGGTTTTAAGTATTGACTGATTGATATTCTAAACCTGGTTTCCTGTATAAAGTTGTAAGTTCAAGATAAAGAGACCACATTCTTATTTGAGGTTCTGGAAATCCTTTATTTCTTTTTTTAAAACATTTTGATAACTTTTTGAAAAATTTAAACCTTTTTAAGAGCAATTTGAGGCTCACAGCAAAATGAAGAGGAAAATAATCTGCACAGAGATTTCCCATATACCTCCTGCTCCTGCATATGCACGACCTCCCCTTTTCATTGTCTGCCACCAGAGTGGTGAACAATTGATAAACCCACACTGAATCATCATAATCACCGAGAGTCCATAGTTCACGTCAGGGTTCACTCTTGATGTACATTCTGTGAGTTTGGACAGACGTATAATAAACTCTGGCTCCACCCCAGTGTGCAGTCCTCTCAGTGTACAGGCCAGTTGGATTCTGGGGACCCCTTCCCACCTGACTGTCTCATTCCCCTCTAAAGTACATCTAACTGCCGTTAGAAGGATAAGGATAAGGACGAAGACCCATCTTAACCGCTTCCTCCTGACAGGGGGTGCTGTTTTGGGAAAACGGCAGTCAGAGATTCCTCATAGGCCTGTCTTAGGGTTCCCAGCAGAAGGGGCCATCATGGAGGCTCCGGTTGCATGGCCATTTGGAGTTTGATGGCCTAAAGGCAAGAACAGACAAACCGGGTTATTAAAAAGTATACGTCAAAACGAAACAAAGGGAGAGGTAAGGACAGCTCAAAGATCCCAAGGCCTTTTACCAGTCTACACAGGGATAGAGAGGTCAAAAGCCTGACATAATAAACACTTTTATGTTTTTACCAGCATGTTGGGCTTCTGGATTCCCTTCCCCTGAGCCCAGTCCTAAGCCAAACAGTTTAAGGTTTGGGAAATTAACTTTTCCCACTGTGAAGGGTGCATCTGAGGGGAGTGTCTTGTAGTTTGGAGATACAATTACCTCTCTGTGAAGAGAGGACAAAGGAGGGAAAAAGAAAAAGCCTCTTTTCAAAGGAGTCCTAGGAGTTCAGGATGCATTTGAAAGGGGTACAAACTGAAGAAGAAAGACCATCCATCTACAAAGAGGGGAGGAGGCATCCCTAGTTCTCTTTTTAGCAGATACCCAGGGTACGTGAGAGAGAAGGAAGAGCATTCTCTTGTCCTTGTATCCCTGAGTCCCGGCAACCTTGGCAGGTACCGCCACGGATGTTAAAGCGGCTTTCACTCATGTTAACAGGGTACCTAGGAGGTGGGAATTATCCACTCTTCCCTCGTATGTTCTGTTTCCCCTGCTGTCCATAGCCTTGAATTCCCGAGACCTCATTTATGCCATGGATACTAGCATGGCCTTTATCTATGAAATGGGAAGTGTGGCTTAATTGACAGCAATCAGCCACATTCACCTGTGTTGTGTCTTTTCCATTATCATCTGCCTCTGGATCCCTCAGATCCAGTTTTCCTTCCTAGGGCTTTGACCTGAAGCTTGGAATTGAGTTTGGGACAGAAATATGTCTCGGGGATTTGCATGGACTTCTTATAAGCCAAATGCTAAGGTGAAGCTGTGGAGTTGACTCCTCCTCCAACAAGGGAGAGAAAAGGATGTCTTGTGATACATCCAGATAACTGGTGGCTATAGTTATGCTGCTAAGATTTGGGTGCATTGTGCTTGGCTTTGGTTAGCTCCCTTGGTCTTACTTTCCCATAAAGGAAACCTCCAAGTGATGGGCATCCTATTTATTCCCATCAACTGGCAGGATTTGCAGGATAACTGCTCAGAACTAGAGTATTGATCCAGATTTTTACGTTACCCATTCCTCTGTTCTTTCTGAGCTGCAGCTGGAGATTGCTGGTTGGTTCACAGGAACAAGTAGGGTTATTCTAAAATGTAGGTGAAAACTTAAAAACAACTAATGAGTTGAGAATTTAATAACAAATGTATGATAATTTTTGAAACCTAATTTCTCTGTCACCAGTCCTCATTTTTCTTTAAAAAACATAAATCATCGTAGGACTAAGTGCTTTCCAAAATGAACTTTAGTCTTATAATTGGCCTGATTATTTGCATAAGGTGCAGCAAGAGTAATTATTTGTACAGAGTCCTTTTGAATTGGCTTTGATGGAACTGTGTTCCACAAGGAATCTCAGTTAAGACCTTTTAAAGCTGAGCCCAGCCATGGGTTTGTATCCTCAAATACCTGTGAGTTGGGTGATTCTCTCCTTTTAAGGTCCTAAGATAAACTTGGAGCTCCTAGGCCTGTTACAAAGTGACATTGTTTACTGATCACAGGTCAGGAACCCTGTACAGGGACTGTATAGGCAAGGGTATGAGGCCAGTTCTTCCTACGGGGCTTTTAGCAGCTCTGCAAGTCAAGATTGACTCCTTAAAGGGAAGCATACCCTTCCAGTCAATGCCTTAGTAAAATAACCAGTTTCTCCAATTGCATCCTGTTGCAAAAGAAAAGTGGATCCTTATTGCACTGATCCAAATAACTATATTGCCATAAGTTAAGAATACTCACAGACAGTTTCCAAATTCTAGAGGAACCAGGCAGAGAGAAACAAACATACTCCAAATTTTTGTTCACAGGAGTGTAATTTAATTAAAGGCCATAGTAGTGCAAAATAAATTTCCTTGACTTTGAAAAACGAAACATGGATCAGCAATGTTCGAAGCAAAAATCAAAAAAGATTTGCTTCAGTTTCCTGAGTTCAGTCCATTTAGTGAACTCTTGTTTTGCCTGATATTCATGAACACTTCAGCTCTTTGAGTCCTGTACATTTTTCCTTAATTCCAATGTCACGATCTCCAAAGTTATCAGAAACCTGTACTTGAGAGCACCTGTCAGAGTCCTATGGCTTATAATAAACCATCTTTTGAAAAGGATTAAAACAAGGTAATAATTGTCACTAGCAATATGTCCAGGATGGTTAGAAACACAATTGACAAGTTTATCTCTGTGGTTTACAACCTTAATTATGTTTGATAGCATATACTTAGACATTAGAATTTTAGAAGTCCCATATAATTTTGGAATATGTAATAGTATTATTCACCAAAATATAACCTAAAGAAGATCGAACATCATCTTGGCAATCCCATGTAACTAAATATGTCAAATAACCATGTTTACCTCTTTTGTGCATGTTTCAGGGGCCCTCTGATCCATCCAAAAAGCCAGGCATCAGGAAAGACAATTTTGAAACTGAAGTTTGATTTTGGGGAAGCCTATTAAGTATGTTAGAAGTTCAAAGCACTTGGTATTATGAAATAGAATTTCAGATTACCATAAGTTATTTATTTTGCCAAAATGATGACTCCAAAATTTTAAAGAAACAAAAACCTTTTATAACCCTTCATGAATTTTGCTAAAGAGCAGATTAGCACCTTAAGAACACCTTGTTGTGCTTTTATTTTAATGCTCAATTTATAGAAAAAACATATAATACCTTTTTAAAATTTAGTCAATATGTTCAAACAGAGAACCTCTTCTGCAAGATTAATTCTTAAAATCCTTTTGCCACTTGTTTGACCCTTCAGCTTTATCTTATCTAATTTAAAACAATCCTTTATCCATAGGCAAAAACTTACATTTCCATGCCTTCTCATAACCTTTTACTAAAAAACACATTTTACTGTTCTTACACATCTTGCATATAAATATATTTCTAGTAGTTTCAGTTACATGTTATAATGGTAACTCCTAGCAATTTTAACTTTAATGTAAAACCTGGTAAGTTGTTTTAATTTTATGCCAGGTACAACCAAGATTTGACTCCTTCAAGCATAATAGAAGGGGTAGTTAGTTCCATATGTCCCCAGGCCTTAACAGTTGTGGACCAGGCAAGTCAGATAGTTCTCAAAACCCAAAAAGCAGCTTATAACCTCAAAACACTTAGCAAACCTTACATCTAACTTGCATAATTTAGTCCACCTATTTACATTTTGATAGCATGTGCTTTTAACCAATAATCTTTAGGGCTATTTTATTGTTTCCTCAAAGATTAAAGTCATGTGAACTGAGAGGTACCACAGCTTTTATCTTCCCTTTAAAAAATATTTGATCTAAGCGCTGTATTTCTTTAGGTCAAATTAGAGCTCTTTTTACAGACATCATCCACACAACACATATAGCTACATAGACAGGCAGGAGAAAACTGAATCCCCTGGTGGAGCCCTGTAAGAGACCGGGCTAGGAAAACATGCAGATATCAAACCAGAAAGGACTTCTTCCCTAAGGCAGGATTGCTAAACAAAGCCTTGCCACACCCCCAGGATGTAAAACAAGATGGAGGCCTGCAGCTAAGTTTGCTACTAACCATACACACGTGCAAAGCACACCAGATTGGCTACAGCTTAAGACCAGCCTCACAAATCCTTTTTCACAAAACTTTACAGAGAATATAAACAGTGATCCTTATCATTCCTAGCCTAGTAAAACATCTTCTAAAAGGAAAAATCTTGCTTAAAAGTTAACTGCTGGTGGGGTGGAGAAGGGGAAGAAAAGAAACAGTTTAAAAATGCCTGAGGAAGAGCATCTTATTCTTATACAACTGGTTCCTCCACCAGGAAGAAAAGCTTAATTACTATCTGTTGGAGTTGAACCCCTTGGCAGGGGAAGGGGAAGATCTCATGGCATTCCCCAGCCCCAGCCAGTGAGAGACAGGACTAGCTGGATTTCCTAGGCTGACTAAGAATCCCTAAGCCTAGCTGGGAAGGTGACCTCAACCACCTTTAAACACAGGGCTTGCAACTTAGCTCACACCTGACCAATCAGGTAATAAAGAGAGCTCACTAGAATTCTAATTCGGCAAAAACAGGAGATAAAGAAATAGCCAAGCATCTATCACCTGAGAGCACAGCAGGAGGGACAGTGATCGGGATATAAACCCAGGCAACGGCTACCCTCTTTAGGTCCCCTCCCTTTGTATGGGAGCTCTGTTTTCACCCTATTAAATCTTGCAACTGCACTCTCTTCTGGTCAGTGTTTGTTACGGCTCCAGCTGAACTTTTGCTCACCGTCCACCACTGCTGTTTGCGGCAGTCACAGACCCGCTGCTGACTTCCATCCCTCCGGAT